GGCAATGGCAAACCACTTCTGAAAAACCTTGCCAAGAAAACTATAGGGACTTGTCCAGGCACTCTCTGAGAACTGGACATGATTGAACAGATTATAAATAAATAAATAAATAAATAGTCAACAAATAAGTGAAATGAGGAGGACAAGATGAAAAATCTCAAAATTACTAATCACCATTTTGGCTTAACTTGCTTTTTTGCTGTATTTTTGTAGTTTTTTGCCTGAAAGGTAAAAAGAAGGGCTGGTTTGTCAGGCATGAGGACCTGTTACAGTTGCAGTACAGAACTCAGCATACTAAACCCTTAGTCTTGCTGGCTGGCTGGTACTTCAGCAATATGTAGAGGAAGACAGAATCCTATGGACGTTCATTTGGGAACAGGGACTCCGTCCCAGGCTCATAGGCTGAGCTCTGAATTTTGAAATGGCCAGGTCCAAGTTCCATTAACTCACTAGATGGAAGCTGCTCAGTTCTGGGTCTCTCAGCGGCAGCAGCATCGGCTAGGGGTTGCACACGAATACTGGCTTAACAAGTGGGAGGTAGCATTTTTAAAACTCTGGCATTCAAACATACATTGTGGTGTTTTAGATGGCTGTAAATGAGACTATTCATCTATTTGCTCTTTTCCGGGAAACTTTCTAACTGTTCAGGATAAAGTTTAATCTGGGGTCTTCTGTGTACAAAACATGTTTTGTTGTTGAGCTTGTTCTCCTTTATAGAAATTGTTGTGTAAGTCAGATGGATTGCTTGGTGTGATTTGATAATAGTGAGATCAGTGGAACCTTTGTGTTTATTCATTATTTGCTGCTTCATAATCACATTTGCACACTAGTTTACAATGAAGATTAAGCCGAATTAAATTTTGTTACAATAATCCATGAAATATGTAGCATATTTTCATTGTAGAGCAGCCATGAAAATAGTTGCTTGGACCCTGGATGATGCTATTTTTTTTCTCTCCCCATAGATATGGGATGCAATAACATCAGGGAATGCCATTAAAAATCCTGTTTTATTGAACAGATTTCTTCTCTTAACATTTGCAGTAAGTAAAATTGTACTAAAAACAACATCAAATTCTCCATAGTTACAAACAACGCTGGTACAGTTATTATCACTATATACCAGTTGATGGATCATGCATCTGCCAATCACAAAGTCCAATCTACTGGGAAATAATTTACAGGTAGTCCTTGCTTAACAACCCTAATCAGGATCAGCAACTCCGCCACTAAGCGAAGGGGTCAATAAGTGGGAAATCACATGACCGCAACTGTGCTTTCCGGCTGGAAAGAGACAAGACTAGTCAGTTTCACACCTTCAGTTTTTGTTTGCCTCCTAACCCTCTCCCACCATTTGGAATGCTCAAGTGCCTGCATACTGTCTTATACACATTGAAAGCAATGTGATCACACCACAGCCTGGGGCCAGGAGCCATGGGTGTGCTACTCAAACAGGCTACTCTCTTGAAATCCCTTTGTCTTCAATCTGTTCTACGAGGGAGGAGAAAAAAAGCAAGCAATTTCTGTAAACAGTCTCTCCTTTGCCTGATCCTTTCCCACTGCCAATGTGATTGCATTGCTTTCAATGGGTAGAAGAGTAAACAGCTTACTCTTAAAATCTCTTTCCAATATCTCTACTCTGTGGGGGGGGAGGGAAACAGAAGGGTCAGGCAAAGGAGAGATTGCCTACAGAAATTTCCTGCTTTTTTCCTCCCCTCCCTCACCCCCTTGCAGAGCAGAGAGATTGGAGAGAGAGAGATTTCAAGAGAGTACTGTAAGCTGTTTGCGTAACATACCTGCAGCTCCCAGCCCCAGGCTGCTGGCGTGATTACATTCCTTTCAAGGTGAAGAAGAGCAAACAGCTTGCAATCCCTCTCTCCAATCTCTCTGCTCTGCAAGGGGGGTGGGGGAGGAAAAAAACCATAGGTCAGGCACAAGACAATGTATACTGACTGTAATGGTGCTCACGTGACTGAGGGATGCTGCGAAAGTCGTAAATGGGCTGTAAAGTTATTTTTTTAGCAGTGTCTAACTTCAAAGAGTTGTTGAATGAATGGTCAGTAAGCAAGGACCACCTGAATTCCATTTTTTCACCCTATTGTTCTTGACAGTATTTTGTAAATGGGGAGTAAAGGAGACAGTATGATTGCATAACAAAAGTGTGCGTGTGGTGGGTGGGGTATAGATGTGGAATAGAAACTATCATTGTCTTACTAACAAGTCATGCCATTCTGAAGATTAGAGGCGTGGGATAAGTGACAGCTCAGTTGGTGCAGTTACAGAAAAATGTTCACATGGCTATCTCATAAGATTTAAAGAGATGCTGGAGAACATATGCAAGGCTAAAAACCACACAGAAGACCTGGAATTTGAAGCAATCCCTTGAGATTCTACTGAAGCATTTGGACACATTCAGGATGAAGGCTAAGAACCTGGGAGTCATTTCTGATACTGAAACAAGTCTATTTTTTTCTCTGATTCGAAGTGTAAGAATTTGATCAAATTACCCTTTCCAAGTTATTACCAAGTTCTGAAGTATTTATATAATTTCTCCCTTAGGATCTAAAGAGATACCGTTTCTATTACTGGTTTTGTTATCCTGCATTGTATGTCCCAGAAGGTATCCCTTTGGTTAAACAACCAGCGCCTCTAAGTGCAAAATTCTCTCCAGCCCAGGTAATTAAAACCATTATACAAATATAGTAGCCCAACAAACGTAATACTTTTCAAAACATAGAAAATAAAATAATGTATGACTTTCGTTACTAAGTGCAAACGCGGCAGATAGTAGTTTATACAGTTTTATACCCACCTCTGCCTGATTGAAATAGGGAGTCAGTTTTAGAAACTCTCTTCACTATCTCAGCGAGTAGCAGGGTTGAGGAAATGGGTAGCTCAGAAAAGGCTTTTTCAGCGGAAATGTCTCAATTATGAGATCATACCCCCCCAAAAAATTTGCTATGTACCCTCTTTTATTCCACTTTAATGGACTGTTATTTCTGTTTTTTTCTGGAAGAAATGTTTAACAGGGAGTGTGGTGTTTTTCCCCCCATCAGTGGCTGTAGTTGTAATTTTTTTTTTTAATCACGATGTCTTGTGAGATTTTACTGCTGTTTGTTTTTCATGTTGTTTTCTGTTTTTGCTCTGTTGCTCATAAAGGTAGGATGTAAAGGTGTAGAAAGGGTTTCTGTCCCTAAAGACAGTACAGCTGAAATTTGCTTGATTCTTGATAGCTCAAAATGCCACTATTATCCTGGTCACGGGACCCCTTGAATTGGGAGCGACTGACACACAAAGAAAACAGTCGTTCAGTTTATTGCACTCTTAGACCAGTACAAGAAGTGTGTCCATGAGTGATCTGTAAGCACCTATAAATCTATCTTAAGAAACCAGTAAATAAAATCTGAGACAAAATTAAAATACATTTATAAAACCTGACTAGGACCCGTGAGTAAGAACCAAAAGGAGCAATCTGTGTCTAAGCTATACATGAGATAGTATCTAAAATTACATAAAACTTGTTAATGTCTCAGATAACAAAAATGTGATGATATCTAAAATTTACATACAGTGTGATAATGTCTGAAGTTACATAAAATTTGATCATACCTAAAATACAACTGTAGCAGGAGCTTGGCCTATCAAGGTCTGGCACATCTTCCATGCTGCTGCGCAAAACCTAGCCGCGTGTGCTGCAATGAATGCCAGTTCATCTTCAAGCCGCATCTGGGCATAGGCTGAGTCTGAGCAATCAGGAAAACTCTGCAAAGATTTTTCTTCTCCCTGTTCTTTGGCGTTGGCAATTCACTGTGCATTACATGGTATCTCGACAGTTGCTGACATTTCAAGGATGGGGAAGCCTGCACCCGTGGGACCAGTTCATTTTCATCGGATCCTAACTGTACAGAAGTTACTAAATAGCCTTTCCGGTGTGAAAATAAGATTTCCTCTCTTGCAAGGCTTGTAAATCTGAATAACGATCCATTTGACCATTTGCAAGGATTTGTATGACGCACATCTAATATAACAGTTCTGCAGAATTCATTCTCTTGCAAAAGGTTAATGTTACTTAATGCTACAAGCAGCAACTGATTTCAGGTGGCAGTTCAAAATCTGGGATAATATAAATTGGATAATATGGTAGGTGATTGAGAAGTTGGAGCTGCAGATTAGTCTCCCGACCTTTCCAAGGGTCACAGGAAGCCGGTTGCTGACATGACCTCACTGTGCAAGGCAGGGCTGAATTTTTTCATTTGACCCCATTTTGTGGGAGGAGAGGGCTCTGGGAGACAGAGTTATTTTCTCATCCTTAAATTACCTACCCCCCCCCCCAAAAAACCTATAAGTTGCCATTTTTCAAGGAGTTTTTCAAGAGTGAAGATGGGAGTGGATTGTATCCCATCACATTCCTATTATGAACCCTCTCTCACCCGCCCCCAAAATGGGCTGAATCAGGCTGAAGAATGGGTTTACTTAATTTTGCTTAACAAGAAAAAAACACATGCTTTTTAATCTTAAATAAAATAAATGTTAAAAACCTTCCAAAATTCACCAGCTGGGTTGCAGATGAGGCTGCATGCAGTTTATGTGTGATAAACATTTACATCAGGGGCTCCAGAATTGGAGCTGTTCTTGACTACAGAGGCATGGCCTCCCTCCCTCCAGAGCAGAGGAGGGGGAAGTGAGGAAAAATGGCCTGCCTTTTGCCCTGTAACCAAATACTGTGAACTGCATTGGGCAGGCAGAGGTGGGTCTGCTTTTTAGCCTGCTTCCAAGGGCTTCTCTAAACTTGGAGCACCCTCAGTCCCAGACAAGCAGCTCACAAGCTTCTTGTTTGTATCTGGTTCCAGACAGACAGGGGATTGATAAACTCTACAAGGTAGACCAGACTAAGAAACAGACACCACACAGACCTAAAGCTACTTTTATTAGAAGAACTGTAGTAACAGATTTTGCAAGTGTGAATGTGTTTCGCTTCCTCCCTTTTTTATCTTCGTAAGAATTAAGAAGAGGGGGACTGCCTGAAGTGTTTTCATAAACCACTTTCTTGGGCTAGGCTCAAGCCTTGTTTATCTGATTCTTGCTTTGGTAGTGGATCTTCCCTCTGTCCTTCAAGGCCATCCTCTTTATTCACCACAGTACTGGATTGTCAAATCATGTCCTACATGGGGATGGACTTAAGATGCAAAATATTGCCGCCAGTTTGCTGCTAGGATTGTCAGATTGGAAGATGACTTGACCAACATCTGGAGGGGTGAATGTTGTGAGCTCCTGGAGTGCTGCTTCATTTGTCTTAACTTATTCTGGGGCTTTAAGGCCTGTTTCCCCAGCCCAACTCTGATACTGATATTAATAAGCCAGCCTGGGGAGGTGGAGGTCTTGAAGTAGCCAACTGCTTCTTGCCATTCAAACATTCTCATCTTAATATTTTTTTAAAAAAATATGCTTTGAATTGGCTTTTGTTTCTTTATTTGGAGCTGTAATGAGTTGTATTTTCTTTTGCACATTTTTTTGCTGATTAGTTTCCTCTTTTCAGTTGACTTCTTTTTTTTAATCATTTCATAATTGCTACTACTAGGTTAAGTCAATTTTTAGCCTCTGAGTTCTTCTGAAGAAGAAAACAGTTTATTGATGCTATTTATTTACTGTAAGTAGACAAATACAGCAATATTTTAGTATGAAGGAAGTTGGAAATTGAGTTGACCCATCCCTGTCTTGTTTTAGACCGAAGCCCTCCAGAATTCATATGATCAACTTTGCCAGAAAGAAGGCGCTACAGCCCTGCCTTATTTTTTAATCAAATACCATGAAGATTCAGTCCATGTATCCTTACTTAGAAACTGGGATAACTTCTTTTCTGATCAAAGGGAGAAGGTAAAAGAAATACAGATGAACAAAATGCAGAGTACTGTAATTATCATTCCCATAATTTCTGGAGCATTTAGTTCTTAATGATGGGATAGCAGAAAGAGAGTAAAATTAGCTGGATATCTGAAAAAGGAACTTGCAGACAGTTAAGTTTCTGAAAGTCAAGTCTTCTCTGAATTCTGAATTTATTGTTCTGGGGATTTATGCTTCACTTTGACCTAAGGGTAAAACTAGTCATATATATGTTTAAGATTAAAGGAGATTTGTTTATATCAAAATCAATGTGGGTGGGTAGGATCAAGTAAATCAACTTTGAAATGAAAAGGGAGCAGACCTGGGGTGCAGGGTTTTAAAGTAGCCCAAATATAACAAGATGAAGCAGGTGAGGGAGCTTTGTTGCTGCTGATTTGGATGTGAGAGAAGCCTCTGCATTTTTTGCTTTACAGATGAAAGGACAAATATGTTTGTTCTATGTACATGTGTAATATTGCCACAAAGACAAAGAGAAAAAATCAAAAGTGTGGATACCTTGGTTTTATTGGATTCTAGCTTTCTGATCACTGTATATACTGCCTGGAAATGATTGGAAGGTCTTAGGCAATGCAGAAAAGCATGAGTAATACAACCACATCGCTGAGGATTTTCTCAGGCCGGTTCCACAAGCAGAAATTAAACTCAAATAATAAACATGGAATTTGTGTCATTCTCTAGAATTTTAGTTAGGGTTAATTTGCTTGCCTGCAGATATACAGATCTGGTTACTCTGCAATATTGTGAAGCATCGTTCTATCTGCTTAGTTATGGGTCTTCAGCAGATTCATACTCTAGTACAGTTTAACTAATATACAGTATATACACATAAAATTAGCAACTCTTGAACTCTGTCAATGTGAACTTACAATAGTCTTTTTTTTTTTTTTTTGCAGGTGACAATTGGTGTTTATGACCCCTGTAATTTTGCCCAGTATCCAGGATGGCCATTGAGAAATATGTTGATCCTTGCAGCACACAGATGGTATTTATTATTAGGTGATGCCTTGAACATGGTTTCTCTATGATCGCAATCCTAAACACACACTGTGAAGTTAGTCCCACTGAATTTGACAGCACTTACTTCTCAGTATTAGGCAGCAAGTCTTTCTCTTGATTTCTTAACACAAGATTGAACTTACTTCTAAATATTTGCAGTGTTTTGCCACAGACCAAGTTGTCACGTTTTGATGCTGCTGTTTGATTTTGATGACAGAGTTTTAGAATGGTTTGATGTGGCCCACAAGATTGGTTGCAGTTGTTTTCGGTTACAAAATGTCAAAATATTTGCAAATGCTGATCAGATACTTAAAGATAAGAAGCTGAAGGTGCAGTATCTGGAGATGTTGTGCTCACTAGAGATGTAAAGCCAAATGAATGAGGAGAGAAGCTGAAAGGAAGATTAAAGCAGGTCGTGTCCTCTGCTTGATGCACGGAGCCAGGCTTGTTTTGAGAGACAGGCTACAGCTTTACAGCAGCGGCCCTTGGTCCTCTACTCAGAGGATGTTTCCTTGTGAGCCCAAGGCAAGTTAGCAAGGGCAAATTTAAGTGAATGGAACTGAAAGCACTTTGCCTTCTTCAGTCATTTCCTGGCATTCAAAGGAACTGTGTGACTAATTATATATCTGGTCAAGGACTTTCAGCCTTCCTTCTCTATCCCTTGTGCTGCCCACCAAACGTTTTTATAAAGAGAGAGGAGTTTTATAAGCAAATTGTGGTTACATTTAAAAGAGCAAATTCTTTTGCCCAAAATAGCTAATAGTTGTCCTGATTCAAAGCTTTCTTAAGCACACCTACTATATGGTAAACGTAAAATAAAGTAAAATGTCTTCAAAACTTCCACCAAGGCTAACCCACTGATAGGAGCCCAAATGCTCCTGACCCAGGGCCTGGGGGAAAAGCCAGGTCTTCAAAGCTTTATGAAAGGCAGGGCCATTTGTATCTCACAGGGGACTCTGTTCCATAGGGCAGGTTCATCATGTTAATTCCAATCATCTTTTTAACTTTCATCTTCTAATTCTACACATATTTATATAATGGTGCACATTATTAGCTAGATAGCTTCTATGTTGCCCATTGATAAAAGAAATCCTAAAATAATGATTCAGATGTAATTATGTATGTGTGTCTATCAGTCTATAAACATTTTACAATATTTATAGCCAGAAATATACAATATTTATATTTACATATTTATATACACAATATTTATAAATATACCATATTTATAGTCCAGAAATAAAAACATATAAATGATAACAGTCAACAATTTTAAATTGTTTAATTTTTAAAAAATGGTACGCATTTTTCAGGTCAAGAGCTAAATGTCTGCTGGAAAAGAAACTTTGGCTTGTTTTTTTCTAAGTATCTGCAGAGCAGGGGCCATCCAAACCTCTGGGGACACAATGTTTTCTGTAATGGGAGCCAGTACTGAGCATTTCTGCAGAGTCCCTAGCTCATGTTCTGGTTTCGCTTAATAACTCATCTAAATCAGATCAAAGCTTAGGTACTAGTTGAAGTAGGAGGCCTTAGTTACTGTCAGTATGTGGCTTATCCTAGGCTTACCACTTGCCGTTTGAGAAAGAGGTTTCCTCAGATTCCAGGTTTGTACAGTCAATCTCTAGGTATCTTCTGTTAAAGAATTCTTGCTCTGTATCGTCCAGCAGAACACGTTGGTAAAACGAATAGATTCTAAGACAGCAGTTCAATTTGCTTTTCTGAGTTATACTGAATAACTTTTGAGCTAGCAAATGGGTTTAGAATATTGAGCTGCATTACTATTGAAATGTAATCCTTTTGGAAAATCGTTCCGCTGTCACGTTAAAAGAATTGCCCGTTAATCCTGGGGTTCTGGAGCGGCTACTTTTACAGAATTCTCATTCCTGACAGGGGAGGCATCCTTCAGTCTGTTGAAGTGCTCTGCTTCCGAGACAGGACCATGCAGGGGGCAAGAGACATTTCACACAGCATTCTTTTTGAAGTAAAGCTTCCACAGCTGACACACAGTCCAGGTAACCCTTCTGAAAGATAAGACAAAGTGTTTATGATGGATTGTTAATACTGTTGCTGTTTGTGGGGAATTGGTAGGGTTTTTTTCTTTAGATAATTCCTGAAGAGAGAAGAAATAAAGTGCTTCTATTTCTGTAAATAAATACCTGCTTCATCAGTTAAGTCTTAGTGAAACATCTTTAGAAAAGATCCATTTCATCTTATGCCAATTTTGAGTTTTCTCTATTCCTGTCAATTGCCTATGCTTCCATTATTTCCATCATGGGTCTTAGACAGTAATGCAACAGTTGACAATATGTTTAATTGCTAAAGCATTTCTAGCTTCCAATTTTTAATTCTGTTAGATTTAGTAGCTATACTTTCTCCTTATGCTGCTTTGTCCAAAAAGGGTAACGTCCTGTTTATTCACATCCATCTGAACTCATTAGTTAGCTCCAAGTATGTTTCAAGAACAAAATTAAATCATCATTAATTATGTTATGACCATATTGTATCAGTTGAACTAATTCAATTGATACAATATGGTTATAACATAATTAATCTCTTGCTAATCTCTTTTCATGGCCAAGATAAGATGGTTATAACATAATTAATCTCTTGTTAATCTCTTTTCATTGCTAATTATTCATTGTAATTAATAATAATATTATTACCTTTAAAATTCGAAAGTTCTTAGATCTAAATTAGTCCATCCTCTGATGTGAATTTGCCCATCATCTGTGATTATCATATAAGATCTTTGAGAATATCTTCCAAGATGTGGCTGATGGTGACATACAAGATTACTGCTTCCATAATAGTTTTTTTCTTATTCTATTAGTGGACAGCCTTTCCATTTTTCCACATTAAATTTTCTGTGTAAGCTTTTCTTCTTTTGGCATTGCTGTCCTAATGTGTCAGTGTTGGGGATGTTTTTGCTTCATTCAGAAGGGGAGTGAACTATAAACTTTGTATAGGGTGTGTGTGTGTATGCCTTCAAGTCAGTCTTGACTCCTGGAGACTGCCTGGACCAACCCCTGCAGTTTTCTTGGCAAGATTTCAGAGGTAGTTTGCCCTTTCCTGTGTCAGGTTCAGCCCAAGAACAACAACGAGACAGTCCAGAATCAGTTCAGCTCCTTTATTAGCTTACACCTAATAGGCAGAATCTCGCCAGACTAGTTCTAATCCCCAACAACAGCAACTATAACCATGATGCCCTTAGGGAGGGGCCAGTCTCCTCCTCTTGACGTTTCCACACTCCAGATGGGGGCTGAGGAGGTGCTTTCCCTGGAACCTCTCTTCCCCCTCCCAGCAACCTTGAAGATCCATTCCAGAATCCTCCCGGCTCATGTCTTCCATCACAGCCTGCTTCCTAGGGCTGAGAGAAAGTGATTGACCCAAGGTCACCCAGCTGGCTTTGTGCCTGAGGGAGGACTAGAACTCATGGTCTCCCGGTTTCTAGTCTGATGTCTTAACCACTACACCAAACTGGCTCTCTAAATTTTTTACAGTATATGTTGTAAATTAAGATCTGTTGCTTTTACCTTCAGAGGCTAGTGAACTGAAGCTTCCTGAGAACCTAATGGTTGGATGAACAATGTCATATTTTTAATTTTTTGGCTTTGTTCCCCAGTGAGGAGCATCAGCCAATTAAGCTTTGAAGATAAAGCTCTGAAAAACATTTCCTTCACCAAATAAATAAATAAATATTTTTTTTAAAAAAATTACTGTTAGGAGATAGCTGCATAATGAAAGATACGCAAATGAGGATTTCAGATTCAGGGAGAGAGAAGTGCAATTTAGAGAGTAGGAATGTGGATAACAAAGTTTTCAGTTATAAAATCTTTCTGCCCTTAACGCCAAAAGCTTAATTCCTCTATTAATTAGGGTATTTTCATTAAAATATCTTGACTGTAATTGTTCTCAATGATACATCAAATTATTTTAGAATAGGACAGGGCAACCTGTGGCATTTGAAACCCTCTTTTGCACTGGAACCCTCTCCAGTCACACCATTCAATTTCAGTGTTGTAGCTGATGCAGAATGGCACAGTTTCATGCCATTTTGAATAGAATTCCTTAAAACAGCCTTTAAAAAAAAGCAAAAAACACTGACTACAGCATACCACAGCCCTGCCCACTAAGCACAATTGCCTTGCCCACTGGGGAAGTTACTCTAAAGTTTGTATTATCAACAACTTGTAGTTATGTAGAGTCATTTTTTTTCATCCTCTAAGAAAATGGATACTTTTAAACACAATTCTTCTCTGATTAAGCAGATTGTCCCAAAGCTGTTGGATGGGAAAAAAATCCAAAGGGAAGTATGGGCCCAAGAATGGTGAATCTAAGTGAATGTATGGACCCCAAAAGGTATATATCATTATAAGTCTTGCTAAAATTAGTCTATTGGGACACTGCATTATTAGAAGTATGTATACATCATTTTGTTAAATGGAAAATTGATTCTTACTTTCCTTTTTTCCTGAAGCTGTTTTCCCAGTCATATGTTTAGAGTGTTAAATCTTACTGAGAAATAAAGCTATGTGGAATGTGAATAAAAGTTGAAATGTCACGTTAGACACCTGTGGAAGATCTCTGGTTAAAAAAAAAATGCATCCATTATCTGCTCATTCTCTTGTTTCCATTATGACAGTGCTGTAGAAGAAACCCTTACATTGGGGCAAAAATGTTATAAATAATGTGATAGTGCATATACTTTCTTGTGTGCAAATGCTTAGAAAAACCAGCTGACTATGAATTTGACAGCTAATTTCATTGTAGAGCATTGGTGTTAATATTTTGGTATGAACCTTCAAAAATGCAATGGAATTCATAACTGTAGGTTCCTTAATTGATAATTTTCCTTTGAGCAAGTTTTCAGATTAGTACATGACCCTTGGACTCTGAATTTTCACTTTTCCAGAGAAACTGGTAATTGCCTGGGGCCCTGAATACCAGTATGAGTCTTGAACATTATTATTTAGCCAGGAGCATTAAAGAAAGCCAATCATGCATTCTGTTTTTCTACTTGAAGAGGAAAGCAGAGCTCTTTCATTTAACATAACCTTTTTTTCTATTTCATATTAAGGCTAGCAGAGTCATCTGTGGATCTTAACCTTAAATTGATGTGCTGGCGGTTAGTACCTACTCTTGATCTGGAGAAAGTTGTATCTGCAAAGTGTCTTCTTCTCGGAGCTGGTACACTGGGTTGTAGTGTAGCTAGAACTTTGATGGCAAGTACTGAAGATACTCTACTGTTCCTAATATTGTCTCAATTTGGAGGGAACTCTACTGTTCCTAATGTTTCCCTAATTTGGAGGGAAGATTTGGATCTGTTAGCTGCTGTTTTTATAGTGTACTAAGTTGTATATATCAGTATGAGTCTTGAATAAAGCATTAGAATGACGTAAATATAACACACTAGAACAGTTCATATACTCGTAGAAACTAGGGCCCATATCCTTCTTTATTGGCAGTTTTACAGTGGCATTACCCCACTCTGATCTAAATTTCCAGAGCACTCTGATATTTATTACTCTATTTGCACATGATTAAGATTCCTAAATGTAGCAAAAAGTTGTTACTTTATATTACAGATTGTCAGTAACAGCTTATGATGTGATCTAAATGTATGGCCAAGAATTGCACTGATATAATTCACTTACCAACAGCCATCAGAGCACCAGACTGATGAAGACTATGCTTATAAATTTGTATTCCATTTGGTTATTTTTAGTTCTTTAGCCTTTTAATGTTATTGTCATTCCTTTCTATATACTACCTTATTTTATACCATAGTATTATAGTTCTTATAGTTACAACATCATTCTACCTGTAGATTATAGTGAGACAGTGATTTCATATTTCGTGTTAGCTATTATTTTTAGTATTTATTCCATAGTTTTATATATTATCTATGGTGCACCATTCTCACTCTTGTTTTCATAATCTTAATCTTACAGTCTTAATGATGTTGGTATCATGATTTTAGTGTGCCCTAGTAACTTAAATTTTAGTCATATCTCACATTATATAGGCTGGACTTCTATCACAATGGGATGGCTGTAATTTTATCATTGAATGTTATAATGTTCTGCTGGTTGATGACCAAGATAAAGAGTCTCACTCCCTTAATTATGTATAATTTTCTTTGCAGTACATTTTTAGCACAATGATTTTCACAGCACGAGACTAAATTCCCTTCAGAGTCACTGGAAATTGAAAGAGTGCCCTGAAAACCATCTGCCTCCCTTTATATGTCCTTTGGTTCATATAGTCATTATCAAAGTGATATGATTGCAGTTTTACCATGTCTGGCTGTCACACCATTAGAAGTCAACATTATATCAGAAGTCTTGAATCATGAGGGTACAAACAATGCCGGTGTCAGTAGCCCAAACAGATGAAGAAAGGAATTATGATTAATTTGGCCCATGATGTTTCAAATGCTACTGAGCAGCACACAGGATCCAAGGAGTTGACCCTTTTCTTAAATGAGGGAGGCAGCATGATACCATACCTTCCTTCCCAGTTGATGTCTCATATTCTGATTTTCAGTCCTGGGAATGGCCAGTGTTTATAACTAACTTATAAATTTTGCAGTGTTTAGATAATTAATTGTGTTAATTATTCACAATTAATTCAGGGATGGGGAGTCAGGAAGATTACATTTGTGGACAATGCAAAGATCTCTTATTCCAACCCTGTGCGTCAACCTCTCTATGAATTTGAAGATTGTCTTGGGGGTGGAAAGTCCAAAGCAGTTGCAGCAGCAGAGAGACTTCAAAAAATATTCCCTGGAGCAGTGAGTAAATGAATATGATTTAATGATCAAACCTCATATGTGCTTGAACCAAAGCCAAAGATTACTCTTATGTTTGTTCTTCAAAAATGAACTAAACCACAAAGAAATAATTGCCGTGCTTTAATGACTTGATAGATTTTTACAGTGAAGGGAAACTGCATTTAAAACTGCTTCTTGCAAACCCAAAACAAAAATGAAGTGTAGAAGTAGTTTTATTTTGGAGCTGGACATAAATCAGCTGTTTACCTGTTTGCTCAAGGGTGAGACAATATAAAGGTGAAAGACTAATGATGATGATAATAACAAGAACAACAGTGACAACTTTATTTAATGTCTGAGGTCAAATAAGAATTAACACATTCCAATAAAATAAATTGTTACAGATACATGCAAGCAATAAAAAATAAAGTGAAATAGAATACAGTGTAAAGACAAAAATGGAAAAAGTAATATAGTAGTAAATTGGCTACTGATTAATTGTATATGTGGCATAGATAAAGATATAATATTGGTTGGTTGGTTGGTTGGTTGGTTGGTTGGTTGGTTGGTTGGTTGATTATGTGCCACCAAGTCATTGTCAGCTCTTAGCAACCACATAGATTTTCTCCTTGATGATCTGTCCCTAACTTGGTCCTTCACCTCTTCCAATGGTGCCCCCATTGCCACAGTAACTGAGTGTATCCATCTTGGTGCAGGTCGTCCTCTTCTTCTCTTTCTTTCTGCTTTCCCAGCTTTAGAGCCTTCTCCAGAGAGCTGGGTCTTCACATAATGTGTCTGAAGTAGGATCATTTGAGCCTAGTTATTTGTTCCTTGAGTGAGAACTCTGGGTTGATTTGTTCAGTGATCCATTGGTTTGTTTTCTTGGCTGTTCTTGGTATTCTCAGGAGTCTTCTCCAACACCGAAGTTCAAAAGCATCAATACTCTTCCTATATAATAATTATAAACATCTGAACTCTTAGCCTCCTAATGGCGATAGCAGTTGTGCAGAACTAAGCTATAACCTTGCAAGTTTCAGAAAATATCTCAGCAGACAAATGACATTAATAAATAATGGTGAAAAAATCTTATATGTAGCTTCACACAGTCCACTAATTACACAGGATTGGTTTTTTTAAAAAATCAGTTGAAGATCAGCTTTATTGTTAGCAAACATGGTGTGTCTGAAGTAATAAAAACTCTCCTGAAAATTGTTTATTCTGTAATGGGGAAGGCAGATGAAGGTGGAAAAGAGATGATGTCATGTATCACTCCTTTCCATTTTATTTGTATTAACTCCTCAATATTGTTAGTTTTCTTTATCAAAATAACATAATGTAAATTATTACCTTCTTTTTCCACTTATGACAGCCGTACATAGGTTAACAATGATTTGGTTTGAATGCTTCATGAGGTACTGCTCAATTCATCAGTACAGTTCACGGCACAGACCTTGTAATTAAAATGTGTAGAGTAAAAAAACGTTACTAATTTTGGAGGAAGAGTAGCTGATGCATGCTGCATATGGCATATGAATGCAAAGGATTTCCTGCAAGGAGAAGTCGTTATCTCTTCCTTGCAGGAGGAGGCTTTAGGAAAGAGTAAAGGTGAGAGGCAGGAGTTGCAGCAGGAAAGTGAACTTGGGAAAACATGCAGAAAAGGAAGCTTATAGAAACGGAAGCGTGAAACTAAATGCTTTAGGGACATAGCGAGAGAACAGTGCAGAGTGTGGGTTTCAGAATTCCTTTTCAATGATCATCTTCCACGAAGGCCAGTTGGGTATAAACATCTTGGCTTAATGAAAACATTACATCATTTCATGCTACTGTTAGATTGCTATATTGACTGAATTTGAAAAGACTTTTCTTCTGCCATCTGTTGGCCAGTAAGCTCCAGAGTTTTCTCTCATAGCAGTACTTTTATGTGTTCTTCAACAGTTCTGGGCTAACAAATATGTTACGTTATGTTCTCTTTCTCTTTAGTGTAGTGTCTGTTTTAAAATTGGCACATTAAAATGTTTTATTTTCTGAAATAGTATACCATTTGGGATTTGCATGTGCAGTTCATATCAAGAAAATAATTAGAAATGCCTGTTTACATATGCCTTTTTAAAAGGTTAGTTTTCAGGAACTTCAAATTCTCTCCATAATTTTTTGTTACTGTTCCACTTTGGCTAAAAAACCCCCAAATATGAATTATGTCTATCAGCAAGCAGGCAAGATATATATTTTCTATAGGTACAGCTTTCTTTCTAGGTACCTAAGTTGAATCCAGAAAAAGCAGTGTTACTTATTATTTCAAGCTTGTGGGGCAGGCAGGAGATGGTAGCCTCTTCTGGCTCCCTATCTGAAATGATCCTTCCTTGTTTTCTTTTAGAAAGGAAGGAAGGGAAAGAAAGGAAGAGAAAGGCAGGCAGGCAGGCAGGCAGGCAGGCTTGATCAGCAGTTGTTAATTTCATGTAGAAGTAGCCTTTCTTTGCTTCAGCGCTTTATTAGCATTACTTGCAGGAAGTGAGAGATTTTCCATACAAGTTCATAGGAAAGGCAGGATGAATCTGCTTTCATTTAAATTTCTGTGGTAGGTATGTACTTGAGTGCTGGATGATGGGGCTATATTGGCAGACCATTCCAGAGGGGGAGGGGAGGGGGGGAG